AACCTTCCTTCCGAGGAGTGGCTGGTGGGTTTGAACCACCAGCCGTCTGGTTAGCAGGAAAGTGTCTTACAAACCAATTTTTCAAAAATAACCTATTTGTAATTTTGAGCTCTGGTGGCATAGTGTCTAAGGCATTTGACTGCTAACCAGAAGGTTGGTGATTCAAATTCACCAGCCACTCCATGGAAGGAAGACTGGGCAATCTACTTCCATAAAGATTTACTGCCTCAGAAACCCAAAGGGGGTTGCTATGAGTCAGAATCGACTCAATGGCAGTGAGTTTGGTTTTTTGATTTATAGATAAAAATGGCATAGGTATCTGACCTTCTCTTACTTCACAATGGGGAAGGAGAATCAAGACCAACAGCCCAAGGCTGCTTCTTATGAGGTGGAGGTCAAATATGCCTCCACTCCACCATTTTATTAATTCTGACACCAGCTGTCCTTCTCAAACATTTTACTTCTCTGCTTCATTGTAATGGCTACACAGAACTCGGAGATCATACACATGATTATGGAGTTTATTTGGGAAATAATGGGGTACAATTAGGATCAGGGAAGACTCATGATACAGTTCTTTGATAAGGAGAGTCTCTTTTCAGCCATGCCCGCAGGCTTCTTTCTGGTCCTTGGTTTGTTGGGTCTCTTGGGTCCTCAGGGCAAGGGACAAAGCTTCCTAGCTCTACCAATAAATGCCTCGAGGCATCCAACTCCACCAGTAAGCTTCCTGACCAAAACTCTATCACACTGTGGACTATGAAGCCCACTGCTATCTCCCAGTTCGGCTGCCTCTGCTTCTGCCATTTCTCTCCCACTACTTCTTGCTATCTCTGGTGTTATACTCCCTGTTTGCTGTGTACTAGGACTTTGCATATGCAGGAACCCTGGGTCCAAAGGTCTGTGCTTTGCTTCCTGCTTCCATCTCTTCTTTTTAGTAGTAGTCAGGTCCCTCCTTTCTGCCTTTGGGATGGATCATTTTAAGACTATTGGGATGACAAAACTGACCAATCTTCTTGCTAGGGTTTCACATATCTTATTTACATGGTTCCACCCCACAAGGGTGCCCTGCATCTTATTTGCATTATTAGCAAGCTGTCTAGTCCCCTTGGTGTCTCATAAGAAATTTATTTGCATAGTCCCACACAATCATTTACTGAGAGTTACAAGACCATGGTGAGAAAGGCCATAGAAAAGCAATCCATTGCACCACACCATGTCTTTATAAAAGGAGACCTAGTGGTGCAGCTGTTAAAGTGCTTGGCTGGTAACAAAAAGATCAGAGGTTTGAATCCCCCAGCCACTCCATAGGAGAAAGATGTGGTAGTTTGCTTCCATAAAGATTTACAGTTTTGGAAACCCTATGAATTTCTACTCTGTCCTACAGGATTGCTGTCAGTAGGAATTGACTCGATGGCAGTGGGTTTGGTTTTCAGATGTCTTTAAAATAAGAAACAAAACAAATGGACAAACCTTCACCTCCCCATCCCCACTCCCCAACGATCAACCTTGTTGTTGTTGTTATGTGCCATTGAGCTGGACCTGACTCATAGTGACCCCTCCTTGGATTTCCAAGGCAGTATCACTATGGAAGTAGATTGCCCAACCTTCCTTCCAAGGAGTGGTGATCAACCTTAAGAAAGCAAAATGACTCCTCGGCATGTTTGCTAATTCCTAATTTCATTTACCTCTCCTTCAAATATCTTTATGCCTATAAAGTTACCTCAACTATCATTGCAAGGCAGTGTATAAAAATTAAAAACTTCATTTGCAAGATCCAGAAAAAAAAAGAAAAAGCTTGAAAATAAGCATTTATGACAATGTTCCCAAGAACTGATTTATCACAAAAATTTGCTTCTTATACCATGGATTGGGACAGGCAGAGTTTTCGTTTGTTTTTGGCTTATTGACAAGAAGCTCTAAGCAGAACATCAAGCTCAATTGGCATAACATACTACACAAAACATTGTTCCACCTCCTACCATGGCAAGTAGCAACTGAGATCTTAAAAGCTTGCAAGCTGCCATCTAGATGCAACGATGGATCTCTCCTCGTCCAGAGCCAAGAAGAATGAAGAAAACCAGAAATTCATGGAAACAACTAGTCCTAGCAACTGGTACACCATCCAATCTGCAGCCTATATGACTATGAGACCAGAAGAAATAGATGGTGCTCTGCTGCTACTGTCAACCACTTGGAAGAGGATCTTTGTAGGAGATCCTGGATAGACAGGGAGAACAATGTGGAACAAAACTCAAAATCATTTGGGGAAAAAAAAAAAAAGCAGGGAACAGTTTTGCTGGACTGATAGAGCCTGGTGGAACCACTGAGACTATGGCCCCTAGCTACCCTTCAGGTCTGGAATTGAACGCACACCTGTGGCTTCCAGCCAAACAACAGACAGGCATATCAGTTGAGCATTTATCTGAGGTAGATACACTCCTTAGAGAGAATAAGCATGAGAGAAAGAAGGGCTGCTCAGGTACAGGGAGACAGCTCAGGGGGTAGGAGTGCATGGAGAGATGGACACAGGGAAGAGGTAACTATCGGGAGGACGCAGCAGGGGAGATGTTGCATTGTGCTAAATTGTGGTCAATTTCATGAGACAAAGTGTAAGTGAACTGCTGTATGGAAAGTGTATTTGCGCTGTAAATTTTCACCCAAATCACAATTAAAAAAAAAAAAGAAGAAGCTCCAAGCTCTTTCATGCTGATGGAGGAACTCTGGTGGTGTAGCAGTTAAGGCATTTAATGGCTGATAACCAAAAGGTTGGTGGTTCGAACCTACCAGTCACTCCATGGAAGAAAGATGAGGCAGTTCATTTCTGTACAGATTTACAGCCTTGGAAACCCAATAGGGGTCACTATGAAATGTAATCAGTTAATGGCCGTGAGTTTGGTTTGGTTTGATGCTGATATAGGAGAAAATACGTCATACCTCTAGTTTTAATTATCATATATGTAAAGTTAGAGTACATAAATAAATCATGAAATAAAATATAAGATATAAAAATATCATTTTCAAAAGACTACAGGAATATGAATTTTTATGATGTGCAATGCAATGAGCAGACATGTATGCAAAGTTTCCTGTTTCCTGGCATACATGTTTCATTTATTTGTTTTGCTCTTTTTCTTTGTACCAAACAATTTTGGTAAGTCCAGAATTATCGATGACATACAATCCACAGAAGCAAAAATGAAATATTTTACATGATCCTTTATAATCATTTACAAATTAACTTTGGAAACTTCACACACACACACTCACATACACACACACACACAGGTGAGTTCCTGTTGCTATTTTCTTCACTTTTCCAGTTGAGCAAGTAAGGTAAAAGGAAACCAAGCCCTTTAACTACTGAGTCATGGTACAGTTAACACAGGAAAACCAGCAGGAAGGGAATCAGAAAGCTCTCCTAGCTACCAATTATTTACTTCAGTCACCACCTCTTATATTATCACATAGATGAAAAATTATACTTTCTGTTTCCTAAGCAACATACTGAAATAATAGAATATATGCTTTATCTATTGATGCATTTAGTGATAAGAATGAAGTTTGTGAAATGTGACAAGAAGGACAAATGGAGAAAGAAGGATGATGAGAGGAGACAGTATCAATTGATTGTCCCAGCAATGCAGGTTCTGTTGCTGTTGTTGTTATGTGCCGTTGAGTCGGACCTCACTCATAGCAAACCCTACTTGGGTTTCCAAGGCAGTATCACTAGGGAAGTTGATTGCCCAACCTTCCTTCTGAGGAGTGGCTGGTGAGTTTGAACTTCCAGCCTTCTGGTTAGCAGTCAAGTGCCTTAGGCACTACGCTACCAGAGCTCCTTAATACAGGTTCTAGTAAAGGTAAATAATCATTTGAATTTCTTCCCTTTAATATATGTATTATGAAGACTGACTTATCTCAGAATTTTTTAAGGTCTAATTACTGTACATTGGTGAAAATTCAGCTCACATGTAATTCAATTTCTTCTGCCTATACATTTTCTTTCATTAAACTTCTTACCTGGCAATGAATACACTGGATATGTTATAATGCCCATTATCACACTTTATTTGTTGTTGTTGTTGTTGTTGTTAAGCGCCATTAAGTCAGATCTGACTCATAGCGACCCCTCCTTGGGTTTCCAAGGCAGTATTACTACAGAAGTAGATTGCCCAACCTTCCTTCCGAGGAGTGGCTGGTGGGTTTGAACTGCCAGCCTTCTGGTTAGCAGTCAAGTGCCTTAGGCACTATGCTACCAGAGCTCCCACACTTTATTTAGTGACATCAAATTCAGGGAATTTCAAAGATTACCCAACTTCTCTTTTCCCTTTATCATGGCTGTTCTCTTATACATCTTTCCCTTTGGTAACAATTTCTTGCAAACATTTCCACCTAATTAACTAAAGTTTAGATCTCATTTCTTTCTATCATGTGAATAACTTGCTCAGAATCCCTGTGAAGACATCTATTGTAATACTTGCTCCTACACATGCCTTCAGACACCGACTGCAGATCTAGAGAAATGCACCCACACCTTACAGAGGCGCTTTCCACTCCCAGGTCTGAGTGTGTGTTCAGAAACGCAAGATGGTGGGAGAGGGGAGTACCATGTTACCTAAAACACAGCGCAAGGATATTGATTTGAAGTTGAAAAATTGTTTATACGTAAGGTTTTTAGGTAGGTAACCGTTATGGTGTGCATTTCCACAGAACCTGGGGCATCGTTCCGAGAATCTGCCCAAGGGCTGAAGCTGGGCCATCTGTCACCACGAGGTGCTGGGCCCCGGGGCGACACTTCCCGCCGCCTGTGCGTGGCACGCGACCCGCGGCCTGGCCGGGACGCGCCGTCTAACGCCTCTGGGCGACTTCCCCGAATGCCTCGGCGACTAGCGCCCCACGAGGGGCAGAGCCGAGGCGCTGCTCGCCAGCGGAGCCACTTCCCTCCGCCGCCGGGTGGGGCTTCGGACAGGGGCTGGGTCGCCGCTGCCCCTCCCCGCGCTCACCTGCTCGTGCTCCTCCTGCGGCTGCCGCCCGTGCCTCCGCGGGCTCCCGTCGGACTCCAGTTCGGTCCCCGCCGCCGCCCGCTTCGCCAGCGCGTTCCCGTCCTCGTCGCACTCCCCGCCGCCGCCGCTGCCTCTGCCGCTGCCGCCGCCGCCTCCTCCTCCTCCGTCGCGGCTCCCCAGCAGCTCCCCGGCCGAACACATCCCGTTGCCAATTCCCGCTGCCCGGGGCAGACGCCGGAGGGTCAAGTCACGAAGCTGGAGACAGCGTCCGCTGCCCAGGGATCCCGCCCGGGGATCTGCCGCGCCCGCCTCTGACACTAGCTCCTAAATCCCGCCCAGCCGGTTAGAGCGCCTGAAATGCCAGCCCGGCAGGCCCCCTCCTGTCACTGGCTCACCCCGCCTCCGGGGCGGTGCCTACGCTGGGGAGGGGCTGCAGTGCGGGGGGGGGGGCCGGAGCCACAACGGGAGTGGGAAGGGTTGTGTGTGAGCGAGAAGGTAGGTGAAGATCATGTGTGTATGTAGGAATGTGTATGTGTGTGAGAGAAACACATACACAGCCACAGTGGGATCCTTCCGTTCTTGCTTGGCGCTAGGCGGTGTGCCTGGGTGCAGTGGGCAGATCTACGGAAAATAGCACCTATGGCAAGTAGTTTTAAATTGCTGAATGATCTCTCGCAGTTGGCACTGGAAACTGCGATGGCCAACAGAAACTGCTCATTGTCGCCCCCCTTCAAGTGGCTGTCAGGACCTGTTCCATACGTTACACATGCCTCTGGTTGGGTGTGCTGCTTACTGACTGTCCTAGTAGTTGTCTATGCTTTGCAAAGAATACACATTTCTTTCTTTTACGGTTTGTGACTCCTCTCTGGTGTCTCTCTGAAGATCTGTCTTTGTCTCTATTGAGTGTTCCCTTGGCTTGTGTTGGTTGCTGGAGCCTTGGGGGCATTTGGAAGTATGTCTGCCTTTGTGTATACTTCTATAAAAGCAAACGAAACCAAACCAGTTGTTGTCCAGTGAATTCTAACTCATAGTGACCCCATGAGTGTGTCAGAGTAAGACTGTGTGCGGTAGGGTTTTCAAGGATTGATTTTTCAAAGTAGATAAGCAAGTCTGACTTCCTAGGCACCTGTGGGTGGACAACTGGGTGAAAATATGTCTGTGTCAGTGGATGGTATAGGGGGTACATGCAACTTATGATTATTTTTCTTACTATAGCCACTCATTTTGTTAAAGGAAAATTGAGGAACTTTTAAATAAAATATCAAATTTGTCTTTATGTCTTCTCTGAACATTGAGAAAATGATAGATGATTGTATTCTATTGATTAAAACATCAAGCTATCTACCAATGGAAAGTAAATATGTCTGGGTATGGAGAAGAATAACATATTTGAGATCTTCTATTAAAATTTCATCAAGTCTGGAATATGAGTTAAAATAGACAGGAATCAAATTTATTTGAAAGATCTAATTCTTGGTTTTGATATTCAGGACAAAAACCAAAAACTCACTTCCATCAAGTCACTTCTGACTGATAGTGACCCCTATTGTGTTTCCAAGGCTGTAAATCTTTACAGAAGCAGACTACCTCATCTTTCTTCTGCAGACTGGCTGGTGGGTTCAAACCGCCAACCTTTTGGTTATCTGGTTATCAGCCAAATGCTTTAACTATTACACCATCAGATCTTCTTATTCAGGACAGTGTTGTTGTTGTGATGTGCAGTCGAATAGGCCCCAACTCATAGCGACCCCTCCTTGGGTTTCCAAGGCAGTATCACTACAGAAGTAGATTGCCCAACCTTCCTTCTGAGGAGTAGCTGGTGGGTTTGAACTACCAGCCTTCTGGTTAGCAGTCACAGAACAGTAAGGACTAGTAAATATGTTTTTGGATATCACAAATTAGAAAGAAAGAAAAATCTGATTTATTTCCTTTCTTAAAAGCTGCTAAAGTCTTTGTTGTTGGTTGCTGTAGAGTCTGTTTCAACTCCTGGCAACCCCATGTGTGCAGAGTGGAACAACTCCATAGAATTTTCAAGGCTGTGACTTTTTTTTTCTTTCTTTTTTTACTTATTTTAGGAGTTTGTTTTACATTCAATGTTACATGTACATTTAGTTTCACTCTCCAGTTACCATGCCCAACCCTAACTCAGTCTCCTCCCCTCCTTGCCCAGTAACCCTCCCCCTGTGCCCCTCATAGTTATGTACTCCTGTTTGTCCTACATTACCTTTGTGTAAATGTTGCCCTCTGTGCCCATGTGGTCTATTGCTCCAAGGGATGTATTTATGTCTATAGAGTATGGGGGTGCATCACCCTGGGTTGAGTGGTCTGCATGTACATCTTGTTTTGGGCTGAGAGCCAGCCCCTGGGATTGAGTTTTATTCCAGGTGCAGAATGTAATCCAGGGCTATAGTATTGGAGGTCTCACCAGACTCCATCCAGCAATTCTGGTCATTATTGAGTTTTTGGATTTTGTTCCATGCTTTTCCTCCCACTCTATCCAGGATCTTCATATTTGATACTTTCCTGAGTGGTTGACATTGGTAGCCGGGCACCATTTAGTTCTTCTGGTCTCCAGGGCCATCATGTCCTAGGGCTGATTGCTTCCAAATACCCTTGTTTTTTTTTGTACTCTTCTTCACATCCAACACTAGGAGACCATTAAGTGCATCTTAGACAGACTCAGTTGGCACAATAAAATACATAAAAGCCTTGTTCCTCATCCTACATTGGTGAGTAGCAATTGGGGTCTTAAAAGCTTTCAAGGCTGTGACTTTCTGGATGCATATCATCAGGCCTGTCTTCCAGGCACCTCTGGCTCAGTTTGAACCACCAAACTTTAGGATAGTAGTTGATCACTTAACCATTTGTGGCACTCAGGAATTCCATAAAACCCTAGAAAGGATTATTTCATATAAAATATATACCAGTTGTCATGGAGTTGATTCTAACTAATGGCAACCCCTGTGTGTCAGAGTAGAATTGTATTCCATGGAATTTTCAAAGACTGATTTTTTTATTTTTCCAAGAAGTAGATAACTGGTAGATTCTGAGGTGCCTCTGGGTAGTGTCAAACCTCTGAACTATTGGTTAGTAGCCGAGTGCATCAATGGCAAATGCCACTGTCTTAGGGTGGGTTATTTAGAGGAGCAAAGCCATTTCAAGGAAATGGCTCACATAGTTGTGGAAGCTGGCTGGTCCAGGATCTGTGGATCAGGTGTCAGGCTGGAAGCTTATCCTCACTCATGTGGTTGCAGGAGCTAATCATCACAAAATTGGCAGGTCAGACAGCAGGCTGCTGGCTCCCATATGAGTCTGTGGGAACTGGTGAATCCTTAAATCTATAGGTCAGATGGCAAGCTGCTAGTTCATGTCCTAAGAATTGGAGGTCATAGGTTGATGAATTAGATAGATGCAGGATTCAGAAAGGGTGAACTTTGCCAGAACATACATATATATTGGATTTGTGCCACATCCCCAAAAAACTCCTCTTTCAACTGATTGGCTGCTCACATTTGTAATCATCCTCCATTTTGGATCACAACAAATTTATCCTTTACTTTAGAAGGAATACCCTGTCATGGCCCACACTGCTGAATGAGTAGAAAGTTCACTGAGGTGGAAGGCACCTGAATTTTTGTTACATTAATTTATCACCCTATGGCACACAAATGTCTTACCAATAAGTCTGGGGTCATTGATACTTCTTCCTTGCTAAGCCCAATCAGCATAATGTCATCAATGTAATGGACCAATGGGATGTCTTGTGGAAGGTAAAGGCTGTCAAGGTCCCTGGTGAACTAGATTATGACATAGTACTACAGAGTTGATGTATCCCTAAGGTAGAACAGTGAAGGAGTATTGCTGGACTTGCCAGCTGAAAGCAAAATGTTTCTGACATTCCTTTGAAAATGAGAAAGGCTGGCCAGATCAATAGCTGCATACCCAGGTATCATGAGATGTATTAATTTGCTCAAGTAATGCCACCATATTTGCAGGGGTAGCTGCAATTGGAGTCACCACCTGGCTAAGTTTGTGATAATCCACTGTCATTCTCCAAGATCCATCTGTGTTTTTGCACAGGCCAAATAAATGAGTTGAATGGGGTATGGTGGGAATCTCCATCTCCCTGCATCCTGCAAGTCCTTGATGGTAGCACTAATCCTTGCAATCCATCTAGGAATGAAGTATGGTATTTGGTTTACTATTTTGCTAGGTAAGGGCAGTCTAATGGCTTCCACTTGGCTTTTCATACCATAATAGCCCTTACTCCACATGTCATGGATAAAATGTGGTGATTCTGCCAGTTTCTGAGAATGTCTATCCCAATTATGCATTATGGAACTCAGGAAATCACTCACTGTGAGACAGATCTGAACTAAGAGTCCATTAATAACCTGACCTCCATACATCTCTACTCTGACTGATGGGCCACAATGATGTTTTGGGTCTCCTGAAATTAGTGTAAATTCAGAGACAGTGTCCAGTAATCCTAGAAGAATCAAAGTATGTCCTTTCCCTCAGTGTACAGTCAGTCTTGTAAAAGACTGTAGATTCCTTAGGAGAAGGCTGAGAGTAAGATCCACAGTATAAATTTTTGACAGTGCAGTGGGGTTCTTCCTCAACAGGGCACAGCCTCTTCATTCATGGGTCTGAGAATTGATTGAGGGGGCTGTGATTCTCTATTCTTGCAATTCAAGTTGGACTGTCTTTCACTTGACCTAGAATTCTGTTGTTTGTACAGATCAAATAAATATTTAGTAGATTTTCCATCTATTTCACTTCTAGAGACACCATGACTAAGTAGCCAATGCCATAAGTCCATATGAGTGGGGCTATTGTAATTACTGTTTTGATTCTGCTATCCATTATGGTAACCATGTCCATGTTATCTGTGTTGATTAAGTATGCCACTTGGCCCTTACCACTAGAAGTATCCAAGTAACCCTGGGTAGTTAGGTGTTTTCCACCACTTGTCTGTCAATTTATTATACTGGGGTGGCTTATGTGTTGTTGTGAGGCTGGAGGGTATGCCACTTGTATTTCAAATACCAGCAGAGTCACCTATGGTGGACAGGTTTCAGTGGAGCTTCCAGACTAAGACAGACTGGGAAGAAGAATGGGGCCACCGACTTCTGAAATAACTGGCCAGTGATAACCTTATGAAAAGCAGTGAAACACTATCTGATATATTATTGGAAAATTTTATAAATATCTGTGTAACATGTCAGATATAGTACCAGAAGATGAGCCCCCTCAAGTCAGAAGGCACTCAAAATACAACTGGGGATGAGCTGCCTTCTCAAAGTAAAGTTGACTTTAATGACAGGGATGGAGTAAAGCTTTTGAGTCCTTCATTTACTGTTTCTCAAAATGAATAGAAATAGCTGAAAACATTCATTAGTAATAGGAATGTGGAATTATGGAGAATGAGTCTAGGAAAATTGGAAGTTGTCAAAAATGAAATGGAAGGCATAGAGATCAATACCCTAGGCATTAGTGAGCTGAAATGGACTCATGTTGATGATTTTGAATCAAACATAATAGTCTACTATATCAGGAATGAAAAAATGAAGAGGAATAGCATCACATTCGTTGTCTAAAAGAACATTTCAAGATATATACATAAGGATCCCTGGGGGTGCAGTGGATAAGATATTTGACTGCTAACCAGAAGGTCAGCAGTTCAAACTCAGCTGCTCTGCTGAAGGAAGATGAGGCATACCAGGAAGACCAGTTAATACTACTATTATTCAAATTTATGCACCAACCACTAAAGCCAAAGGTGGAAAAAGGGAAGATTTTCAACAACTTTTATACTCTGGAATTGACCAAATATGCAATCAAGATGTATTGATTATTCCCAGTGATTGGAATGCAAAATTTGGAAACAAAGAAGAATCATTGGTAGTTGCAATACATGGTGTTGGTATAGAAATGATACTGGGAGATTGCATGATAGAATTTTGCAAGACCAATGACTTATTCATTGCAAATACCTCTTTTCAACAACATAAACAGTGGATATACACATGAACCTCACAAGATGGAATACATAGTAATCAGATAGACTATTTCTATGGAAAGAGGTTATGGAGTTCAAATATCAGTCAAAACTAGACCAGGAACAGACTATGAAACAGAACACCAATTGCTTATATACAAATTCAAGTTGAAGCTGAAGAAAATTAAAACAAATCAACGGGAGTCACAGTACAAACTTGATTATATCCCACCAGAATTTAGAGACCATCCAAGAATAGATTTGACACTTTGAACACCAATGACAAGACAAGTTGTGGGATGAAAAAAAGAACATCATCCATGAAGAAAGCAAAATGCCATTAAAAATACAAGAAAGAAAGAAAAGACCAAATAGATGTCAGAAGAGACTCTGAAACTTGCTCTTGAGTGGAGAGTAGCTAAAGCAAATGGAAGAAATGATGGGATATAAGAGCGGAACAGAAGATTTCAAAAAGCAGCTTGAGAAGACAAAGTAAAGCATTATAATGAAATGCGGAAAGGCCTGGAGTTAGTAAACCAAAAGGGAAGAACACACTCAGCATTTCTCAAGCTGAAAGAACAGAAGAAAAAATTCAAGCTTCAAGTTGCACTATTGAAAGATCTATAGGCAAAATGTTGAATTATGCAGGAAGCATCAAAAGAAGATGGAAGAAATACACAGAGTTATGGTACCAAAAAGAATTGGTCAGTATTCATCTATTTCAGGAGGTAGGATATAATCAAGAACCAAAGGTATTGAAGGAAGAAGTCCAAGTTGTACTTAAGGAATTGGCACAACAAAACAAAACAAAAGTCTCAAGGAATTGATGAGATACCCATTGAAATGTTTCAACAAATGGATGCAGTGCTGGAAGTGCTTACTCATTTATGTCAAGAAATTGGAAGATATCTACATGGCCAACCGACTGGAAGAGATCCATATTTGTACCCATTCCCAAGAAAGGTGATCCAACAGAATGTGGAAATACTACAATATCATTACTATCACACACAAGTACAATTTTGCTGAAGATATTCAAACATATTTGCAGTGACATATTGACAGGGAACTTCCAGAAATGTAAGCTAGATTCAGAAGAGGACATGGAACAAGGGATAACATTGCTGATATCAGATGGCTCTTGGTTGAAAACAAAGAATAACAGAAAGATATTTACCAGTGTTTTATTGAGTATGCAAAGGCATTTGACTGTGTGGATCACAATAAATTATGGATAACTTTGAGAAGAATGGGAATTACAGAACACTTAATTGTGCTTATGAGGAACCTGTATATAGACAAAGAGGCAGTTTTTCAGACAGAACAAGGAGATATGGCATGGTTTAAAATCAGGAAGTGTGTGTCAGAGTTGTATCCTCTCACCACACCTATTCAATCTGTATGGTGAGCAAATAATCTGAGAAGCTAGACTACATGAAGAAGAATGTGGTATCAAGATTGGAGGAAGACTCATTAACTACCTGTGATATACAGATAACATAACCTTGCTTGCTGAAAATGAAGATGACTTGAAGCATTTGCTGAAGAAGTTCAAAGACTCCAGTCTTCATTATGGATTACACTTCAACATAAAGAAAACCAAATATACATATATTAAAAAAAATGGCTCATTAACCTTGTGGGAGCTGTCGAATCCCAAATTCATGGGTCAGGTGACAGGCTAGGTGCTACTTCTGACTCACTTGGTTTCAGGGGCTGATTAACACAAAATTAGTGGGTCAGACCAGCTCATGGGGCTTCAGGAGCTGGTGAATGTCCAAATCTGCAGGTCACATAGTAGACTGCTGGCTCACATACCAAGAATTGAAGGTCAAAGGATGACAAGTCGGATGCAAGATCAAGAGAGGGGGAGCTTTGCCAGAACAACTATATATATTGGATGTAGCCCACACTCCCAAGAAACTTCCCTTTCAATGAATTGGCTGCTCACATGAGATTATAAAATGGAGGATGATTACATAAGATCTGCCAAACCACTGAGAATCATGGCCTAGCCAAGCTAACACTTAATCTTAACCATCACAGCCACTGTGAGAGCCTAGAACATTCTATTTATGGCCCTCATTACTTTCTTCTAATGACATTTTCATTCTTGAATTTTGTTTTGATGATTATCCACCAGCCCCTCCCCGGAAGGAAGGTTGGGCAATCTACTTCTGTAGTGATGCCTCCCTGGAAACCCAACGAGGGGTCACTATGAGTTGGAGCCAACTCCACAGCACATAACAACAACATACTTCTAATAAAAATTGAACTTATCTTTTTATTAAAACTTTTGGCTTATGTACAGTGACAAATGGCATCAGCCATGTATTGTCAATACTATGGGGTTTATGGCACTTTTTTGTAGTTCTCTCTCTTTTGGCTTGTATCTGTTGATTTGATAAGTCAAGCAGCTATATCCACTCTCTAATAAGGCTGAAGAGTGTACAGAAAATTTTTGTATACAATAGGACTCAGAAGGCACAGAATATACATGTAGGTGGACAGGTAAAAATGTGAAATACACACCTTAGCTTTGTTCAGCTTAGGGGACAAGTCTTACAGAAGTTCTGTAGTCTATCATGTATTGTATGGCCTATTGCAGGCCCAGCTTCATCTTGATTCTTTGATAATTGTATTCATTCATCCATTCATTTAGCATATATTCACTGAACACCAATAGGTATTAGGCCCAACTCCAGTTCCTTACTCTCATGAAGCTTCCATTTTAATGTCCTTGTAATTCTAGTCTGTGTCTCCTGCTAAAGGTTAAGAATTTTCACCAAAGAGTGGCTAGAATCTTCTGGTTCCCATCTAGAACTGAGTCAATTATTTTCAAATAGGGTCTGCCTTTCATTTAGCTGTGAGTTTTTCTTTAAATTGCTATTCTTTTCTTGATAGAGAGTTTGGTCTTTCCTGGGACTTAGAGAGCCATCTCTTCAAAAAATACAGAATAGTAGCATTGTACACAAAATACATTAGGAATACATCACAGTTATCACACTTCCAAGCATATGTTGTGGGAGGAGAAAGCTGTTTTCACTCT